GTAAGCTGCAACGCATAAGACATTAACCCTAATACGTAAGTGTTAAGGTTGAAATTACATTGCGCAATATATGAATAGGTTAAAAGATTTCGACGATGACATAAAGGACACGTTAGTTGAATTTGTTAGAGCAGCGGCGTACCGGGATACCAACCGGGATCTCCAGTTCGTTATATCAATAACTACTAAACAACAATGCAGTCTAATTCTTATATTAATTAGAATAATTACTAAATACTTTAATAATTTCATTTACATTAGTCACTTTTATAAAATATTAAATGTATGTGCGCTGTCTTAAAGACGATCTGCAGTTTTTTCAGAAAAACTACACTAGGTAGTATAAATGTGCTGCAAAATGCAAGACATCACTTTTTCTTCCTTGCCTTATATATATATATGTTTTATTATTTAGCAGTATTGTATAAAATGTAAGCCAAATAAATATTATTCTTATTATAACGTAACACAGAAGTGCATAAAACATTACTCCCCAAACTTCAAAAGCGATTACGGAGAGAAGCAGAAAAACAACCGAGCACCAAATAATTCCGTTACGCTTTGTAAGTCTCGTGTTTGTCGAACTCCTTTAAAGCGGCTTAAAATGGGGGGGGATCGAAAGGGTTCTTATAAGATGCATATCGCGAGCTTAATCTTGGCGGGCAAATTAGGATTAATTGAACTTTTTACTTCTGCTTTATCCACTATTCCTGGAATTATATAGAGCTGATAAAACTATAAACTTTCCATCTGTTGTAAACGAATCCACTCTAAATGTATTTATTATCGTAATTAAGTACCTTATATTACGATTAGTCTTATCGATGGTTAATCAGTGTTGGTATTGAAATATCATTGTTACAATTATTTAATTGAAGGACCTATTGAATAATAATAGATTTGTAAGGAAATATACTTACGGTTCTAGTTATAGAAACATGAACTATCTAATATCACTACATAGTATAAAATAAAGTTGCTTTTTCTGTCCCTATGTGTGCTTAAATCTTTAAAAATACGCAACGGATTTCGATGCTGTTTTTTTTAATAGACAGAGTGATTCGAGAAGGTTTTTATATATGTTCACAGTTTTTCTGTAGTGTATTTAGCATTGCACCCGAGTGAAAATATATTTTAAAATATATTCGGTTACTGATGTAAATATTATGACTAAAATTATATGTATATCAAATGACTTCTAACTCAGTTGCTAGTTTTTGTATCTAAAGACGCATTAGTTTTATTTTAAGCGCAGACTTAGCCATGTCTATTATGTGTATACAATCAGACTTCCCGTTTTCTCTTGTGAGGCTTAGAGCGTACATTTAAAGCTTTACTTACTTATTTCTATGGCCTGTCCGACCGAAATAATTCTATTTGAAGTCAAGTCGTTCTTGTTGTAACACACTTAATTAGGGAGCTACTTTTTTGATTCGGGAAAAAGCAGCTCTATATAGATCCTCCCTATAATGCGTATTGTCATTGAATTAAGGGGTAAGGGGTAAGGGGTATCTATATCCCAGTGGCGGTTAGAAGCTCTCAGGTGTGACGCGACGGAAACCCACTATCATTAACCTACCCACATACGAGTGCGTAAACATGCACCCCCACAGCTGAATGCTTTGTTTACGCAAAATATATACTTGTGTGCGACAGTTTAAACCGGGGACGTATTCGGTTTTTTGTCGCTGAATTTTTATTGCTCGTTTCCAGTCTATAGTATTCTACTTCAACGACTGAAATTATATATCTGTCTTGTGTTTTATATATAGATTTTGTTAGTATCTTTTATTACAATTGCTCTTATAGAATATTAATATAGAACTAAATTTAAATGCAACAATTTAATAATTTGTAAAAAAAAAGCACTCGATTCCACCCTGTTCGTAGCTGCAGGGCCCGGTAACACACAAGACTAAACAGATACCGACAGAACGAGGTAAACGTAAGTAATCACCTAATACGAAACCTTAGTATTGATATTATTTATAACAAAATAAGTTTACGTATACCACTTTCAAAGCTCAGTGGCTAAACGTGTTGAAGCACGAGAGATCCTGGATACGAACTCCGGGAATAAAATAAATTGTTTTACTCAGCACAGGAGACTAAGCTAATTACGCCCCATGTCCCCAAGGGGACAATGGGATTTCACGCTTATATACCTGTGTTAGAATAATATACTACTTAAATACTGTCTATAGTTTACGCGAGTAGTACCTGTACATGTGAATAAAACACTTTTACGGTTTAAAACGCGATATATCCTACTAATATTATAAACGTGAACGTTTGTATGTGTGGATGGATGTTTGTTACTCTTTCACGCAAAAACTACTGAATTGATTGCAACTTAAACTTTCCAATAATATAGCTTATACAACAGAATAACACATAGGCTACAATTTATAAAGAAATTGTGTGAGCTGTCCAAAATATGACATTAAGTGTCAAGTAACTAGGAAAGAACCTTTCTGCGAGCTATGCTGGCGTGCGCTGCCATAAACGTTAGTTACACATATTTATGTCATAATGTTAGTTCTTTTCTACGCCACGCTAATATAACCTACTCCAAATACTAATCCTGCGTAGACGAAGTCGCGGGCACCAGCTAGTTAGTTAATATATCTGGTTTGAAACCGATTTATTTAAAAATATACTACTTCGTTAAAATTGTATAGTATTACATTACCTATATTATGTCATGAAACATCTACTTTAATATTATTTGATAATAACTATTTTATAACGAATCGTTTTCTTTATAATTCAATTGTATATTTTGCGTATTGAAAACTAAATTAGTTCAATATATCCAAAATCCTAATTACCTTCATATGAAAGATTATACTATTAATAAACGTATGTACGCGAGAAGCAAAAACAAACAGACAGACACATAAATGTGTCTGTTTTGAGCCTCAATTATAGAGAAAAGAGTTTTCACACAAGTATCTTCTATACTAGTAATATAGTAAATATGTAAAGAGATATTCTTATCATCTTGAAATCATAAAATAGGCAAAATTATGTAAACACGTACGCACTTGCGTGTCCGTTTCGCACATTGTATCGTATACGAAAGGAGTGTTTTTTTTATTTATCGCCGATCAAATTCAGCTGCCGTTACTCAATAAAACATAGTTCCGATCCTATCTATAATAATCGCTGGTTTAATTGGCCCGACGTGTAACGCGTAATATTTGCACATAAGTGACGTGACGAAAAAATTGTATAATTATGTGTAAAGCAGAGAATCATATCGCGATAAGCTAGTGAAACGCGTAGCGATGCGTTGTCCGCAATTAACTTACGATTCATGGTCAAATATTATATGGTCTGCTTGGTACGATTGATAAGAATGTAAAAATCTATTCTTTACAGTTTGCGTTTTAGTAATTGTGTGTGAAATCTGGTTTCCATCTTTCATGTTCCAGACATATTTCTTTATTTCTGTTACATATTTTAGTAGCAATTGATTAGAATATTCTGCCCTGTAATGTTTTAACGGGATTGGAATCCAGGGCCGTATTTAATGATAAACAATGGTCTAAATTAAAAAATAAAACAATTTTTGACATGGTAGCTCAATTAGTACAACGGTACGGAACGCGATGTCGGTGCAGGTCTTGCCCGTGTCACATTTTTTTTTAAACTTAAATACATTTTTAATTTAACTATTGAATAATATGCAAAAAATTTTTTTGTTGTTTTTTGATAGCCTTTGGATTACGGGAAATATGGTTTAAATTCATTATCCTAGATAAAATTCGCATTTAAATTCGTAAAAATACATTCAATTAAGCCCATAAAAATTAAATCAATTTGACGTTTTAAAACAGTACAACCTTTAACATAAGCAAAATGATTTATTAATTGTATTGTGTTATAAAACAATCAGTATTTAAATAAAACACTTTTAACGCTTGAAAACCTGAAATGTCACACTTATTTACAAATTATATCATTTTTATTTTAACATCTGTCTCTTAGTACACACGCCATCTTTACTCTCACGGCTGTTGCAAAAAATTTAAAACATGGGTCTGAACTAAAAATATTTTTTTATTAAGTTTATTGAATATAATTCGCGTTTTAAGCCGTTAAAACTGTTTTATTTAAATGTGTATACTACAGACAGTATTACATTGTTTCTCTTAGCTGGTCCCTTAATCCTGTCGAGATACCCTCTGCCCTTCCTGTAGATAACGAACGTTACGCTTTAAAATAGTTTATATCCAATAAAAGTTGTTTTTCAATGTCGAATATTATTTACGATTCTTTGTCAACCGCTTTTATTATATCTCCAATTGACCTTGTGTTTGACAGGATTAATTATTATTAAAAGTCTAGAATTACTCAACGTTACTTAATTAGTCAATATTTTTAAATGTTTAAAATGTTACGTAGTTATTTTCACCGCTTTTAAGCTTATCTGCAGAAGCAGGAAACAAAGATTTAAATTAAAAATCGATTATAAATTAAAAGAAAATTCGATTTGGACAGGACTTGAACCGGCATCCACTTCGTGTTGTTGCTCTTACCGATTGAGCTACCGAGTCATACACGTCATCGTCGAATTGTTTTCAACCGATTGATACATGCACCTCTCACGGAACTACACATTAAGAAAAACATTAGCTAAGGTTTTCTCTTTACATAAATAAAATAATTAACTTAGTTATTTTATTTTCGTTAACGGCCCGAATTTAGGAAATTATTCGAACCAGTAGCTCCTGAGATTAGCGCGTTTAAACAAACACTTCAGCTTTATATATTAAAATACATAGTTCAAAAGCTCGCTTCTCGTTGCTTATTATTTTCACCTCGATCGTTTGACACGGTTATTGAGTGGAAGGTCTGCTGACATCAGCATCTCGCTTAGAGGATAGCATAAGTGCCTATATTTAGAATCTGTGCTTTAATTAATAGGAGCGTCTATGGCTTAGTGGTCGCCAATTGACACCGTAACCTCTGGGTAACACTGGATGTAGTCAGAGATGAGATTAGTGCTCGAGGTAGATCAGTTCTCTGGTAGACTAGATACACTCGTTTTTCACATGAAATCATTAAATCCACACACACAAAAATATAATAACATATGTATTTAATGTCCTTTTGTATATGATAGAGATGGTGGTTCACTTGATGGAAAGTAAATATTTACATATTATAATAGTTACTTTCGAATTTTATCGAAAAAAACTAAACAACTTATGGCCCTATATTGTTAAAATGAAACATGTATAATAATAAACATCTATCTATCGAAGTAAGAGTGAAAAAAAATGTGCATTATCTAAATTTATTTTTCTTACTCATTCCATATTTCTGATCGAGCTATAGCAAAAAAAGCTAACTTTAAAAATAACTCTCTTACAAAAAAAAATTATCATCAACTTGCACTTGGCACATTTAATTTTTCAATAACCGAAGTTTTTGTCGTGTAAATAAAGTAAAGATAACTTTTGTAATTTAAATAAAACACTTAACGGGTTTAAACATGAAATATATCATAGGGGACAACGGGTACTGCACAGTACCCAACACCTCGTAGTTATTTAATACAATTGGAACTTAAGACAGGGGCAGGAATTGAACCGGCATCCACAACGTTCCGTGCTGTTGTTCAAAGCAATTGATCTACCGTGTAGTACCATATAACATATATCTCGCAACTTAAAACGGTTCTTTAAATATATACTACTAACAACAGAGAATACTTTGTAATTTGTCGAAGTAACAAGTTGGGTATTGTTTTCGAGGGTGCGGTCGTTAATAGATTACGACGGAGCTATCAGCGGATGCAATAGTGGTAATAGCGGTTTCTATCGAGATATATTCGCTTATCGGTGCATGGGAATTATATGTAGCGGTTTTGATTACGGCCTGTGTGCTTAACGAGACTTTTGTTTGAGTAATTAACGACTAGTATATTTGTAATTTTAATACTGTCTGTAGTTATATTAGCTTTGGATATTCGGCAATCCACAGGCTGAAACCGAAACGCGACTAAACTTTCAATAGAGTCTTGTTTATTAGCTTAAAAAACAAGCCCGTCAACTTAACAGGAGTAAACATTTAAATAAAACATTTTCAACGGTTTTAAACGCTATTTTGTGTGCACTTATACAAAAGGACACCGTGAGTTAGATCTGTAAAGATAAATTACGCTAGATAACTATTACGACGAAACAGGTGGCGCTAGCGTAGCGGATATGATTTTGACATACCTAAGGGACAACGCGGACCGCCTCTGTAGCCAAATGGTTAAACGTATTGCCTAGCTTTGCGTTGAGCGCGAGAGGTCCTGTTCGGTTCGAATTTCAGGGAAACAAAAAATAATGTTCTGGTCGGGCAGGGCACAGAAGTGTGATCAACTACTTGCCCCTTAAGAGAACGGATCAGTGAAACGGACACAGAAATGTGTTCGCCCCATGCCCCACGAAGGGTAACCGGGCTTTTTTTTTTAAGGGACAACGCGGACAGGCCGTAGTTAAAATAAATTTATTAATTCATATTTTACGTTACTTAAATATTTAAGTTTAGTTAATTCTTTTTGTACGATCCCTATCATGGGTTTGGCCCTCATCACATCGCTAATTACTTTCAAAGTGTGCTATTGACATCTACTTTTGTCGACAGACCAGCTTTTTTTCTCTATAGACTTCTCCCACTTGGTCCGTACCTTAAAATACTATTGTATCAGAATTTATACTACTTGATTATTGAATAAGTACAGCTTAAATACAGCCCCTTCTACGCACTTAGGCCAATAAACCAAGTGTACAAAGACAATGTCATACAACAGTAAACGCACGCGCAGGTCACAGAAAAGATCAGTCGAAACGCACCAAGTGCATTATCAAAGCTGCTCGTATATCAAAAGCTCAAAGTGCATAATCGTAGTAATCGTCCGGAGCCAAATGTCGTCGACCCAGTTATCTCATCCGCCATCCCTTTTACAATAACAACAAATGAGTAAGACCCGTGCAACGATATGCATCGATACGGGGAGGAATAAAATCCTGTGTGAACGAACTCTAATCTATGCTCGGTGGCAGCTTCCAGAGACGAGATGCGCACGCGCTGACAGATCGTCAATGAATCACGCCGTTTCTGACGACGCAAGTTGCCCGAGTCTCGGTAAACAAACGTTATCACAATTATATGCAGATAGTTGACGGATTAATATGAACGAGTTTTTACAACGATTTACAAGGTTGTGGTCATGGGGGACTGAAGATAGAAGGCGTTCTTAATATCAAAATCAAAACTGCCTCTACCATTGCTCCCCCCGTGACCACGGCTGCTGCAAAGCATCCGAAACGTCGCGACGCTTTCATTGTAATTGTACATACAATCCGAGATACATTACACACAAACTCCCAAAACGTGTAATAAAACGTTCTACATTTTTTATAAACGGATAATAACTCGGCTAATGACAATAATTATCGCAAAACAATTCGGAAGATCTGGTTTTAAGATGGAAAGCGCGCAATCACGGTTTTTGCTGGACTCCAAACGTGTCGGGAACTCAAAACAGAGGGATTCTCTTAAGGCAATTAACCGAATGTTTCCTTGTAAGTGAGGTAGCTTACCTACGACTTTATGATCTGTACAATGAATAAGAAATCCGTGTCCTGCCATTGTTTATAGCGCTACGTCAAAGCTTTACGACACATCCTTAAATGGGATGATCAGTTTAGTCTCATAGAAGGCCGTTTTCAATACATTCTACCTGATTTAAAATTTATGAGCGTATACAAACTTAACGGAAGGTAGGATAAACTGGGGTATTTCCTTTCGGCTCGGTTTAACAAATTAGCTTGTCTTTAGTAACTGATACGAAGATTAAAATAAAACACTTGTAACGGTTTAAAACGCGAAATATATTAATACACTTATTTTAACTAGTTACTGATGCTTTGTGGCAGCTGTATTCACGAGTTTGTATTCAACTATTATATTACGCGTTTTACACCGTTAAGAAAGATTGATTTACTTATGTGTACTATTGTTTGACTATGATTAAAATCGATGATATTGTAATTTAATTGTAGTTTTCCTTACTTGTAATGGAAACATTCCTATTATAATATATTCTACAGCCTTCTATATACTATAACGGATAATCCATTTAAACACTAATAGATTCATTTTCTACTTTGTATCGCGATTCTATGAAACTAATATCCAGACATTCGAAGGACAGACGCACACGTCATTTCGTGCGCGTTGTATACAATCTGTATGCACTTTACTTAGAAGCCGAACAGTCGAATAACAAGTGCATTGTGCCACCGTATACGACCGAAAAAGATTAGTGAGGTGAATACTTAATGTCGATAGTTCGCACTCATTACCACTTTTTCGTTACAGTTACTCGCTACGTGAATTTTGTGCTAATTGCAGATATAAAAATATCGATATCGATAAATTTATTCATCGCTGATATCGTCTATTAAATGTAAATAGGCGCGCGCTTCACATGCTAATGCGCTGACGGTCTATTGTCGCCCATTTATTAAGAGCTGTGATCTCGGGCGGCTTCTTAATCTGCCCAATAATGTCTATGGGATATCTATTATCGGGGTCCGAACGAGTGCGACGACCCCGTACGAGTATCGACACATCGAGCGGCGGCGGGCGCGCGCCACGCACTTCCGACGCGACGGATTTGCCGGAATCGGCGCGGGCGCATCAAAAGAGCTTGCGAAATTCGGACGGAGGCGCGCGCGCGTGAATCCATTTGAATATCACTTTTCCGTGCCGACATGGGAATGGACTCGCGACGTGGGCGATTGTGTACAATGTCAAATGCTCCGATGCTCAGCGAAACGAAAATTGAAAACCCGGGGAATGTTTATAGCGCATAATCTCATCTTGTAGATGCTCGGCGGGCGTTCGGCGTGCCTCGTGAGCATTATTAATTACGCTCGCCCCGGACGAGCACGATTTAATTACGTAAAAATGTCACCACACAATTATGCGAATGTTTTTTTCGGTCGGATTCAGTGTATCTGCGTTTCGGCGAGGTCGGGCCACACGGGTTTTCTTACTACCTACATCTCACGTTTTTGAGTGGCCATAATATTTAAATTGGTTGCATAGCTCCCGCGGGCATACCGCGCATGGGAATGCGCGACGGACGTCGGAACCAGCTTTTACCGAATGCGTCGTGCGCTGTCCAAACGAGCATCTCTGTCTTACTCGGAGCCAATGAACCGTCAAGACGGGGAGGCGTCGATGGAAAGTATGGTGTCTCGCTGGACGCATCCCGTCTAAAATTTTGCATGAATGCGTTGCGCATGCGCAAACGTGGCCGCGGGCGCCCGCGGGGTGCGTCGGCGCAGCACGTCCGCGACATTACCTGATGATGCATATTAATTGAGGAGGAAGTTTTGTCAATAATATGTAATGTGGTCGGGTCAGCCCGCGGCCCCATTGATAGCTTTTTCGTTTCCCGCCGTATTCCAGTTCCTATATATTCACTAGACGCGCCTTTTATATGCGTTGCAGTATTGCATAATTTATGGCAGACGTTGCTAAAACAATGCTATGATTGTTCAAAGTACTTTGTGATATCTCTGTTTCGCCGGTTCTAAACTGGGTTATTTAAAATAATCTCGGCACTTGAGCGTTAATTGAAGACAATCATCGGGCGAATGAATATTAATCGATAGTTGATTATTGGACGGTTTATGTATCGAGTGCGTATAATCTGAAGTGTTTTGTACGATGATACGGACAGAAATCCATGAAATTACGATAAAGGATTGCTTTATTTATTACTAAGCATATCGTGTTAGGTGATTTGCTTTTATTGCTCTTGAAACCTTTTTTATTTTTCACATGTTCCGTTCTGTTGCTCTAACCAATTGAGCTACCGAATCGGCGCTCGATTTTTAATTTTATTGTTATTTTGAAGATTTGCTTCTGGTATAACACAAAAAGCGAAACTTCATCACATGTAGGACTACCATTTATCACAAAAGTTAATTACTTCAAATGCATAATATTGTCTACGTAAAAAATAATTGAAATTTCTATATACTTACGATTGTAACTAGGTACAAAACGAGTAGAGCTTGAGATTTATAGTTTACGCGAGTAGTAGGTACACACATTAAAATAAGAAACTTAATCGCTTTAAAATGCGATATATCTATACTAATATATAAAGCTGAAGAGTTTGTTTGTTTACACGCGCTAATCTCAGGAGCTACTCGTTTGAATTGAAAATTATTTTGTGAGTTAAAGCATTGATTGAGGAAGCCGATAGGCTATAAAACATAGCGCTGTGACTAATAGGAGCGAAACAGCGGGAAATGTCGAAATAACGGAGAAAATTATTCATCCTTGTGGGTGTATTCACCATTGCGTAAGCTGCAAAAACGGTTGAAGATACCCAAAAAATATGTAACAAAGAATTGTTACTCGTTAAATGATCTAAAATAAAGTCCGTGACAGTATAAGCTAGTATTAGATAAACTTATTCACACATTAAATACTGTCTATAATTTACGCGAGTAGTACACATTTCAATAAAACACTTTAACGGTTTAAAACGCGATATATTAGTTAAACTTATTTGAAAATTTTTTTATTTTATTTTTTTTATTTATTTAAACTTACAATCAAACGGCCTTACATAGCGCTTAATTAACAATAAAACTTAAAGAATAAACGAGGCTAGGCCTTACAGATTGCTTACATCGCTATAACGGGTTAAATTACAGAAATGAGAAGGAAAAAGAAGGAACTTAAGATAAGATTTTTTTTTTTACTTACAATTTGCTTAATACTGCTTTTTTGAAAATGTTTAATCTATTCCAACAAATATCAACGTCACAAAATTTGTTGTTAAAAAGTTCGCAGGACCGCGAAAAAAACCTATGTTTGGCATAATTAGTATGACTGGTGTTAGTGGAAAAAACTAGTTTTTTGCGTGAGGAGATTCGTGGTGTGTGGAAATTAATTTTACTAAGTAATAAGATTGAGTCAATTTTGTTGTGTATAATTTTATAGAGAAAAAGTAGATCGAGGTATGCACGTCTATTTATTAAAGATAGTAAGTGATGTTTGTAAGCGCTAGTTTCATAGTCGTTAAAATAGTTACCCGTAAAGTAATCCAAAGCCTTTAGGAACTTATGCTGAATTTTTTCTATTTTATCTATATGTACAGCATACAATGGATTCCAAACAACACTTCCAAACTCTAAAATATTACGAACGTGAGAATTGTATAATATCTTTAGGGTATCAGCTTTTTTGAATGGCTTAGAGTAGCGAATAATCATTCCCAACCTTTTGAATGCTTTAGTTGTAATGTTGTCAATATGTATATTGAAGTGCATTTTGGAGTCCAGTGTCACTCCCAGGTCCCTGATATTTGTAACGCGTTCTATGGCCCTTCCGCTAAGCATATACGTATGGTCTATAGCGTTAACCTTGCGTGTAAAGGTAATTATACGAGTTTTGTCGTGGTTTAGAACTAATTGATTACATCTACAATACTTTTCAAACTTGTATAAATCTTTTTGAAGTTCACAGCAGTCGGTGACGGATTTCACCATTTTGTAAATTTTTGTGTCATCAGCGTACAGAAGGTGGCTCGAGCTTTCAAAGCAGGATCCGATATCGTTGACATAAAGCGAAAATAGGAAGGGCCCAAGATGCGAACCCTGAGGAATTCCTGAAGGTATTGCTAGGAATGTAGAACAATGGCCCCGTAATGCTACAGCTTGACTACGATTAGAAATATAAGATATAAGCCATCTAAGTAGATCTCCGTGAATGCCAGACAGTGAGAGCTTTTTTATAAGTGTTAAATGATTGAGCTTGTCAAAAGCTTTCGAGAAGTCAGCATAAATTGCGTCTACTTGGTAGCCAGAATCAAGAGCCAACAGCAAATGATCGGTATATGTAACAAGATTAGAATTAACACTACGTCCAGGAAAGAAACCATGCTGACTGGGAGAAATATGATTACGAAAGACTATTGTCAGCTGATTGGTTACAATTTTTTCCAGAATTTTACCTAACACACTTAATTTGGAGATCGGTCTATAATTAGTAATGTCGTGTTTGTTTCCCCCTTTTGGAATAGGTGTAATAAGGGCTTTTTTCCATACACTAGGAAAACAGCCTTCTGAAAGTGATTTTTTAAATATTAAAGCAATAGGAGTGGTAAGATCTTTAGCGAGCTGTGAGATGAAAAACGGAGTCAAGCCATCGGCACCGGCTCCCTTATTTACATCAAGGTGCTTGAGAAGCTTAAAAACACATTCGTTAGTTATTTCAATGGAAGAAATATCAACATTAGAAAAGGAGTTATTAAAAGAACTAAAAGAGTTATCAATTATATACTGAGAACCATCATGAACAAATACTGAATTAAAATAACTATTAAACATACTTGCAATAGAAGAACTATCCGAAGAGGCAACGTCTTTGTGATACATATGTGAAGGTATATCTATTCCCTGTTGCTTGGATTTAATAAAAGACCAGAAGAGCTTTGGGTCTGAACGTATCCTATTTTCGGTAAAAGTAATGTAATTATTGTAACATTCAGTCTCCAAGTGCTTAATAGTACGGCGTAAGTCCGAAAAAGCTTGATAATCACGATTGTTTTTATATCTTTTCCATTTCGAATGTATTTTCGATTTCCTGTGCATTAACTTTATTAATGTTTTAGAATACCAAGGTGGGAAGCGACTAATTGGATGAAACGTTTTTTTAGGAACAAATAGATTTATTAAGTGATGTATTTTGTCATAAAAATAAGACGTGGCCTCTTCAGTTGTAAGTTTAGACATTTCAGACTGCCAGTGTATAGAACAAAGTGCTCTGCTTATATCCTCATACTTACCTTCGCGAAACATATACTTATATATGATATTTATAGGAATATAAGCTGGTAAGGGCATGTTTAAGTTAATCTCCAGGGCCTTGTGGTGTAAATCTTCGAATATTAAAGGCGAAGAGGCAGCCACGGTATGACAAGACATATCACTCAATACTAAATCTAATATTCGATTATTTATATTAAAGCAGCCGTTATACTGAGACAAATTAGCGAAACTCATGAAATGAGATAGTATGGTGGCTTTTGTATCATTATGAGTAATTATTTGTAAATATGCGTCGCTATGACTTTGACTCCAAGCAGCTGAGCTAATGTTAAAATCACCTGTTATTAGAAAATGATCGGAAACATTATTTATAATCAGGTCTGAGGCACTGTCGAAAAAAGTTTGTAAATGTTGCGTATGGTTGTTGTTATGGGGAAAATAACAACAGGCTATATGTAGCGAGCGGGCACGGGAGCGCGCAGCGGACTGTGACGGTGCACCTACCAAGTCAATGCTAACCCACAACTCCTCGGAGGTGCGCGCCGAGCGCCACTGATCCCGGCGGCGCGCGCGCAGGTCTCGGCGGACAGCAATTAGTACACCACCGCCGCGCTCCCCACCCGCGCCCCTGTCTTGTCTGTATACATTATACCCAACATGAAAGTACTCATAATCACTGAAATCAGGAGTTAGCCATGTCTCGGATAGACAAATTATATCATAGTTAGACTGTACGACATTGGAAAGGAAAGAATGTGATTTTGTGCGCAATCCTCTAACATTCTGGTAGTAAATATTGAGATTATTTAACATGTGGTGGTCCATAATTTATGAATATTTTGTTTTTTTGTATTGTAAAAGAAAGTAATGTAAATAAATAATTCTTATGGTAAAATTTTTTGTTAATGAAAATAATAGAGAACTTTTGTGACGTTGATTTACAAAAAGGGTGATGCATATCACTAATATTACGACAAACATACAGAGATTGCCCATTAATGGGGTTTTTGATAACACACGGTAAACAATAATTATTCTTACAAAATAGATTTCGTTTTATAATGGCATATAATATGTTTTTTAACGTTAAGCATAGTCATTTAATTTTTCCTAGGTCACGCTCGTTTTTAATGGTAAAAATGGGAGACTTGTCATTCTTTCGAATTAAGATTTTACAATCTCGAACCCATAAATGAGAGTAATTAAACTGTTGTTTTAACGAGCGTGCTTGTCTTAGTAACAATTTATTCGATGGTGTCAAATGTTCATTGAGAAATATGGGCAGGGAAGGTCCGTCCAGCCGGATATCAACCGTGGAGAGACCCCGACGCGCTCGGGCTGCGGCAAGCAGCTCGTCCTTGCGCCGTCGCCGGGTAAAGCGGATTACAATTGCTGGTGGGCGTACGGTTTTCCTACCTTCATTTTGGCCTACCTCCTCGTTCTTTTTTACAAAAGGTCGTACCCGATGAACACTATCGATGTCTGTAGTATCCAAAGTGAGACCCACAACACTAAAGATGTTATTCACCAGCTCTAACAAATTTTCACCGGTTCTCGATGGAATTCCATTAATCTCGACGTTATTGAGGCGGGAAAATTGATCTTGAACGTCGATAACATTCCGTAAATCATCGATTGTCCGATTAGCGGTAGACAGGTCGTCCTGCACTGTAGTCAAACTTGAAAGCTTTTGTTCGACGGAGCTGATCCTGTCCTCAACGTTACTTAGCCTTGTTTCAAAATCGCCCCACTTTGCCGATAGGGTCTGGATAGCTTGAATACTTTTTTCCATATCGGCTTTTACCGATTGTAGATCTGCGCTGAATGTGTTGAAATCATTTCGAAATTCCTTGAGCTCCTTCATAAGTTCTGTAATTGAGATGCAGTTCTCGGGCGAGGGGCATAGTTGAGACGCAGACTGACGACAATTGAGGCAGCGCCAGGCACCCCGTTTCTCTGGTCCCATCTTGCGGTAGCTGGTTTCAGTGACTCCTGCGCAGCCGTAATGGAGCATTTCATCACATTGACTACATAGCACCGAATCCGAGACTTGCTTCCGACACTTAGGGCAAATTCCCGACATTGTTAAAGTAATTTTTGCAACGAGCGCGACGCACAACACAACCGCTCACTAGCTCGTGCGTAGGTGATTGAATGAAATGTTTTTTTTATTAAAGGATTATTTGCAGCAGCCGTGGTCACGGGGAGACCCCCGTGACCACGGCTGCTGCAAAGCATCCGAAACGTCGGGCCGAAGTTAAAAATCATTTTCAAATAAGTTTAACTAATATATCGCGTTTTAAACCGTTAAAGTGTTTTATTTAAATTATTCACACATTGTTTTAACTACGGCGTTACGTTACGGCGACGATTCGGATGCTTTTAAAGTAATTGGTAGGTAAATAAGTTTACCTTATATATTTCGCGTTTTGAACAATCAAAGTGTTTTATTAAAAAGTATATTAGTAGTTCTATGTATAACCAAATCAAAGAAAGTATTAAAAATCACAGCCGATAAAGAGCATAGATTAAGCATTGAGCAGATACGGATAACAAGCGATAGGACTGGCTCATTAAAGCCAAAATTATCGACTGAGCCACGGATTACAGAGATTAATGCATAGATTATTATACTTTTATCACTGTGATTGTCGGTTTTCGTTCGCCTCAAAGTGATTTAGTGCTTGAAAATCAGGTGATTTAACGCGATTAGATTTTGCGTATATCTAAATATTATATTATTGATTTTATCGGCGCCTTTAATTTCAAATCAGTTTAAATTACTGCGATCGTGTTCCAAATGTGATTGGAGAATCAACTCTGTACAATTCAATATTATTTTTATTAGCCAGTTGTCAAAATGATGAGGACAGGCGAGCGTGGGTGGTGGGAATATCGAAATACCAATTGGGTCACGAAATCCACAGTTTGAAACCGAAACGCGATTAAATTAGGCTTTATCTGTGGACGGTGGTACGTTATCTAGACGCAATTTTGATATTCCTACCAAACTTTTTAATATCTACTCCTTGACGAAGTCCAAGATGTTTCAGGAAAATTATAAACGTATTCAAAAAATGTTGGTCCCGGTGGGAATCGAACTCGCGACTCGTTCATCGTTACCATTACACATACGAGCCTGTCACCTCCCATTAAGTGAATCTAATGCCTGTATGTCCTTAAAAGAACTAGTAATAGTTTTACTAAATACAATAACAAATAAAACGCGGGTGAACTCCGTGACCACGGCTGCTGCAAAGCATCCGAAACGTCGGGCTGTAGTTAGTTTAAATAATTATCAAATCAGTTTAAGTAATATATATCGCGTTTAAAACCGTTAAAGTGTTTTATTTAAATAGTTTGATTAGCACTCGTTAAAATGAAAAAGCGAAACGCATTACTACGCTATTTCGAAACACTACGTGGCTTTAAAACTCACTTCTAACGAATATAGAGCATGTATGAGCAAACTATTAACACGGGCTCGCTACGACGTAATTAGTGTCATTCGCACTATCTCCGGGATAAACACAGCAGGGCATCTTGTCGAACACCAATTTGGAAACAAATGGTCGGGGCCCGCAAGTGCTAACTTAATTTGTTCGGCTTTCGCTAACGTGAACGATTGTTGCGTCGAGGCGCATTCTTACGATTTGGTGTTCGAGTTACCGGGTTGAACTTGTTAAGTGTACAAAATAGTGTATTTATAACTGAACGAATTTTTAAGGAGACTCTCTTATTCCGATTTACATTAGCCACTAGTTGAAGAAATGTGCACTATAGATAAAATAGTTTTAACGGGTTACATGTGAAATATACTAATTAACTTTAATTAAATAAACTCGTCTCCTACATTTAAGCAATTTATAGTTTTTTCTGTATGTTATAACTTCGTCTGGAAATCTGGATATTAAATAGGCAGTAGGAATATGTCGGTTTAAAACGCGATGTATAAGTTTAACTAATATATCGCGTTTTAAACCGTTAAAGTGTTTTATTTAAATGTGTACTTTTCGCGTGAACTATAGACAGTATTTAAAACGCCAAGTGTTGTCTTCAGTCTGGATTTCCGAATATGCTAGGGCTTTTCATCACCTATTATACGTGATTCCCGTACTTGTCTATTCTCCTCTATCGTAAATAATGCACTCTCGTTTGCCGATAAAAACTATTCATTTAATTAATCAATATTGATTAATTAATCAGCATATATACGTAGAACAACAGACCATCAAACCGCGATAACATTCGTTTCCGTAGTAAATATTTAGTTAAGAATATTTGGAATGTGGGAATTTCGGAAACGTCAATATTTTATTGTAGCACGCAACTCCGCCTTTATAAGTGATAACATACATAAGGTCAATAACAGAAACACGACACTGTAAATTTAGACTTTTACCATTTTCGGTGGAAAAGCGATTTCCCAGGAATATATAAGGGTTTCTGTTGATCAGGACAGTTGACAGGACATTTTAGTAAAATTTGCAAATGTAACGATTACATCAATATTACTTTTTATAAACATTTTGTATTAAATAAAGGTAATCTTTATTAAAAGACAATCTAAATTAAATTCTAACAGTTGTAGCAAAATGTATTTAATACCTTATTTTAATAGTAACCCGACGTTTCGGGTGCTTTGTAGCAATCGAAAAGAAGCAAAATAGTTAAGAATAACGTCACTATAAATGTTGCGTTTTAAACCCTGTTTTTTTAATGTGTCGTTTTGTAACTTATATGCTTAACACAATTTTATTATCTATAGCAAGCGCTTTCCAGGCATTTCTTATAAACCTTAGGACTTTAATCATCACAGACTTTACTTATATAAAACTCAACTATCGGTGTTCTTATTGAATTGAAACACCTTGTATTACCTGTGTACATGTATAACGGATGTTTAACGAACGTTTCATAGTATGCCCTTGGAATAAATGAAGACGAAGAGTGCTTTTGCATCGCATAGAGAATGCTTCGGGAAATAACTGTTCTGTGGGAAAACTTTCTGTTTATTCTGAGAAAGGGCGTCTATGGTTGGAACTTGAAAATAGAAACATAATGACAATCTATCTGTGCTAATATATAATGCTGAAGAGTTTGTTTGTTTGAACGCGCTAATCTTGGGAACTTGTGGTTCGAATTGAAGAAAATATTTATCAAGGATGGCTATAGGCTATAGATCATTGCGCTGTAACTAACAGAAGCGAAGAAACAGTCGAATGCATCTGGTGAATGCAATATGGTGCATGTATCAATAAGTTGAAAAATTTCGACGATAAGGTGTGGGACAGCACGTAACGCTGACGATGCCGGTTCAAGTCCTGCCCGAGTCGAACATTTTTTCAATTTATTTTCGTTTCTTAAATTATACAGTGTAAGGGTTAATAGGGGTTGAAAAAGAGGATAAAGGTTTGTATGGAAATTCGTGGTTTTTGATTATAGACAATAAAACTCTCTTCTTTGGCTTTTTGGGAATAGGAGTGGGAGTGAGAGTAGGAGTGATGTGAGGTGAGGGTGTTGCGGCAAAATAGCACATACAACTTAGATTGGTTGCCTTAAATGCGCCCTTACATGAATTAATAACGACTTCGTCCGCGTACATATTCCACGCGGACAAAGTCGCGGGCACAGCCAGTATATTATAAAGCTGTAGAGTTTGTTTGTTTGAAGGTGCTGATCTCAGGACCTACTGGTTCGAATAATTTTACAATTAATGTTACAGGCTTCTTGTTCTCTTATTTGCACAAAACATTTCTAGTTTTAAAGTTAATGTTGAGTACTCGAATTTCAACATTGTGATATGAGTGTTAACATTTTCCTCTAAGCTCTATCCGCTTCATACAGCGACCCATAAATTGACATAACCTGGACCGCTCCCTAGGAGTGCACACTAAACACGCGGATTAAATGAGTCTGGCTACCGACAGTGTAAACACGCCCTAAAAGCATTTAATACTGAATTAAATTTCATTACTTCATTGTAACAGTGAAAAGTAAGAATATTGCGTATTATAACTTCTTTTATTGTTTTAAAATTGTAACACTGTGCGGTTATGTATTAAGAAATAACGCGAATATTACACATTTATAAATAAAATACTTTTAACGGTTTAAAACGCGAAATATATTATTAAAGCACTGTGGTCACGCGCGGACCGCTTTTAAGTGTTTTATTTAAGTATCATTAAAATAAATATTAAGTGAGTAAATAAAGTTTTGTTAAGTGATTTTTTTTATATTAAAAGCATAAATAACTCAATCGAGCGATGATTCAGTAGGTTTCAGAAATAATCATATAAGTTGAATATTATCTTAGGCTATAAAAATAATAAATCATGGTAGTCGGCGGGTTATTGCGGATGACCTCGATATCTTAGAAGTAAAGTAAATCAGCCATTGATAAACATAAATCCAGATTTGGTATCAAAACCCGAGCTTCACGGCTGTCGCGTTCGGAAACCAGGACATTATCGCTCTGATAACAAATATAGAGGATGTGATTGTGGTTTTGAGATATTTAATTTTATTATTATTGACTTAAAAAATACTGATAAGCAGTTCGTAAGTATAGAAATAAAAAAGTAATTCGAGATTTGATTTTCGATTTGATTTTTTTGATTTGGAACTTTTTCAAGTATTGTCATTATAATACAAAAAATGCATTTTTATTTTTACATGTTGCAACTAAACAGTTGCAAATATATTAAGCTCCTTTGATCGCGGTCGTGTGTCCGATTCCGCCAGTTTCCCAAACATTTCAGTCTTAAATAGATGTTTAATTCATATTTTGTGTATCTTATTTATGTCCTTATTACAATTGACTTTAAAGCCATACTTTTTATGGTATTTTCCAATAGCATTGAATGAGTTTTTAGGACGTTTAAGAGCAACGCACGTTGACAAATACACTTGGTTATTACATTTATAAGGTTTTATGTAATATTAATATGTATGTAATTAATGTATATATTTTTTTATTTTAGAAGACAAACAAGCATGGGTCTTGTGTATATATCTTGTGGATTTCGTAATATGTAATTAGCTTTACATATTTCGAAATCCACTCGAACCGATACGTGATTAAACTTCACGGCGTTTTCATCTGTGGTGGTACATGACCTGGATCGAATTACGAGATTATGTTACACTAATTCGATGCTAGGTTTAAATAAAAAAAATGGTTTAATAGAAATATTTGTTATTGTCACGTCGGCATTGTTGCACGTTCTATTTGTCCGTGTGTATCATCTTCAATACGTTCTTTTTTTGGTATTCTTATCTTTTACGCCACGGCCTGCGTAATTTCGCGTATCTGTTGTGAAAATATTCCTATGACTTGATGTAATATTTCATATAATTAATACAACTGTGTATTTAACTTTACAATTAAGAGAGAAATACCTAATGGGTTTAAAATGATCCTAAGATAACAATTGTGTATTTACGAAATCATTGAAAATATTTGAACTGATTGCGATACGAAATAAGATAAGTCATGCTGGTGGTGTGAAGGTAATTTCCTGGTAGTACCTATTGCTAGGTATATGGAAGATATTGAGTGTTTTTATGATAGACACAGACAAGCAATGGGGTCCACTCGTTGAAAGGAATATAGCGAACGAAAGAAATACCCCAGCTGTATAACATCAACAAGATGAGCTGTTGACTCCACAGACTGAAACCAATACACATTTAAACTTCTCGGCTTTTTTATCTGTGGTTAATGGTTCTGACCCGGATGGGATCGAACCTGCGACCCGTTCAGCCATTTGTCGCTATTAGACCAACGAGGTTGTCATATCATGGAAAAACAAATCATCAGTTGACAGCTGTAGAATTAAAAGATAAGCTCGCGTCTTACACAAATAGGAGATACATCCAAACGTTATCTCATACAAATAAATGGGACATAAATAATCTCGGTGCGATAGACAAAACGCGTAATGCCATGGTAAATGTTACTATCGTGGTGTGGTGCTTGTTTGTATGTCACCATTACACAGCTACTCGCTTTCAGATAAGCCCGACGGAATAACATCGTCTTGGATTTAAAACGCAACAGAGAGGATTTAAATAAAACAATTTTGACGGTTTAAAAACTACGGCTCGAAGTGAACATGAGTTGAAAATTGACCTAAGGTTAAAAAACTTCATCATGCGATAAATACATTTTTGATTTTAAAAATAGTAACAGATTTTAATAATGACTTGATAAATATAATCAAAGGTAAATTTTTGCTCATGGTGTAAAACTAAAGGTTCTAAGTGGTCCAGAACTGAGTGTATGTATGCTATTAATGTGTTAAGATTTTTAATTCGTTATTCATCAAATATACCTGTAGGTAGATAATAGACAGCAGAAATATTTCTTACTTACTTACTCCGCTGGCGCAGCGACCCAAAGTGAGTCATTGCCTCCGAGAAATATTTCTGGTGTCCAAAATATAGTCTAGTAATATTATTGATGACGCCTGTTTTGATAATCTGTGGGTACTGTTTCAATAAAAGCAACGATAGAGGAAAATATAGGGAAAAACTACAATTAAAGCCACAGTAGCATAATAAATACAGTAGGCAAACACGTTGAGATAAGTAGGCAAATAGAGTAATGTGTATTATTCCTAATGATCTTTATGTGACATTCGAAGATTACGCTAACTGACAGGAGTTGAGCTTAGTTTGCTCAGCGCTGGGAAGGCGTGTTTGATTAAGCATTAATTAGTTTTGTGGAAATTGTTACGTAAATGCGCAATATTTTAAATTGTTATTTCATTAGGTAATCCACTCGACACTAGAAGTACCTACATATTATAATCAAATACTTTTAAGTGTCTAAAACGCGAAAATATATTAGTTTGCTTATTAACAATTTTTTTTAACTGCGGCCCGATTGCTTCACTGTGGTCCCCGCTCCTCGTGGTCACGAGGCCGTCAAATGAAAAACTTATAACGGTTTAAAACGCGAAATCTATTAGATAACTTATTAACAATTTAATTTAACTACGGCCCGACGTTCTGGATACTTCGCAGGAGGCGTGGCCACGGGGCCGTTAAATAAAACACTTTTAAGGGTTTCAGTCGCAAACAAAAAGTATTAGTTTTTTAATTTAACTATGGCCCAAGTTTCAGTCTGAGAGCCGTGTACGGCATTACAAATAAGTTTACTAATAAATAATATATTTCGCGTTCTAAACCGTTAACAGTATTCTATTTAAATACTTGTTTTATTGTTGCTTCACTTGAAGAGTTAATATTCTTATTTAAACTGTCGCGTAGTTTTTGTTCATATAACGTAACGACAGGTGTCTAAAATCTTTTTTCTTCTGAAGCGTGTTACACTTCGTCAAGTAAATACGGTTTGTAGGTATATCGAAATACCATCCGGGGACCGACCACCGTCCACATATAGAATAGTGTTTCGGGTTTCAGTCTGTAGATTTCAATAAGTATAAATAAGTCGAAAATCTAAAAAAATAAATAAAACACTTTAACGGTTACACGGTAACAGGGAGACTCCCCGTGACCACGGCTGCTGCAAAGCATCCGAAACGTCGGGCTGAAGTTAAAAATTATTTTCAAATAAGTTTAACTAATACATCGCGTTTTAAACCGTTAAAGTGTTTTATTTAAATGTGTACTACTCGCGTATACTATAGACAGTATTTAAGTCGAAAATCGACAACAGTGTTATTATTATATGTCTCTCTAGCTACAACAATCGACCGTTCCTATTAAGTATTTACCAAGCTTATCATCCTATAATTTTTATTAATTGGTAATCGAAAACTCCCACGCTACCCACAAATATTTGTACGGAAACTATTATCACTTACGTATATTGTATGAAATATCAATCAATGGACTCTTGGTTCGCAAACATGTGACGTTTGATTCCCATAAAAATTAACAACTGTCGACTACATTGATATGATGACGTTCGCAGTAGCAACAAGCGTTACGTTACCCTGTACTCGTTAAGTGTTTCATTCTAATTTGATTATGTTATCCTTGAATTACAAATCTGTGACGATTGGGTATTTCATATCAACCGATATATTACATTATAGGTTATTTCTATCTGTTAATACGCGAGTAGTAAGCGCTTAAAAGGCTTTTAACGATTTAAAACACGAAATGTATTAGTCAACTTATTTCAAGCCTTTGTCAATTACAGCATGCTGTTTCGGATGCCTTTTATTGGTAACCGTTATTTTGCCAATAATTTTGGCGAATATTTTTTTAAAAAAGATAATTATTCCCGTTTTCTCCACATTTCCTTCTGTTCTATCGCTTCTATTAGTCGTACTCTAATGTTTTAAAGCCTAAAGCCTTTCTTGCTAATGGTCCGATCAACAAAAAATATTTTTTTCAATTCGAGTAGTTCCTGGGATTAGCGCGCTACAAACAAACAAACTCTTCTGCTTTTGTAATAAAAACACCATCGTAATACTTGCATACGTAAGGATTGTTAATGAAAATCGCCTTTATATTCTCACCGTACTAGAATAGTACGCAACGGCCGCAAACACATTTTCCCCGACCGTTGTAAGTTGGGCGAATGTATCCATGGTAATTGTGGTGCTAGCCGTGATTGCAAGAGTTAACACATAATACATTACAGTTTGTGTCACAACACAATCAAGCTGAGAGGACGAATCAGGCGCCGAGAAGCGTAATCTAGGTTAACAGGGGTCAAACGGCATCACAAATTCCAATACGATATTAGACAGATCTGTGGCGCGAATCGACGATTCTATGTGTATCTGTGGCACTTATTGGCTTCCCTATTACACTTGTTGATCGGCTGAAATCTTCAGTTCACAGAGGAAAATTACAAAGTCCTTGTTTTATAATACGTCATTGCTTAGCAGAAATCTTAAATTGGAGTAGTTATTATTCTATATTTAAAAACGGAACGCTACTCGGGTCAGAACTTAAAGCAGCAGCACGGAACGCAGTGGATGCCGGTTCGAGACCCGCTCGTGTCGTTTTTATAGCTTTTCAATTTATAAACGTTCGAAATGTGAAAAATATTTTGAAGTCTATTTTACCAGTAGTACACATTAAGATAAAACTCTTTAACGTTTAAAACGTGGCCGAAGTTAAAAACATTTTCAAATAAGTTAATAATATATGTTTTAAACCTTAAAGTTTTTATAAATTTTAAAACTAATACGAATACTAATACTATCTAAGTTGCCACATTTAATATTGAAATTGGAAAGCAGCCCCACACCGTTACACTTTACGTAACGAAACGATGTACCCTCCTTTAAAAAAACATTGACTATTAGAAGATTTATGGAGTGACGCAATTATGCAGTGACTTCTTGGCAGCTCATTTATCAGAATTCCCTGGAAACGGACACAGAAGTGTATCCCCAGCCTACACGTATAATAAACGAGATTTCAGTAACATTTGTAGGTTTTATGATAAAGGACAGACAAGCACGTGCACGCACTTGATTCAAAATACCCCAGCCGTATAACATCCCAAAAAGATCGGCTGCCGACGTATTTTGACTTTGGATATTCGAAAATCCTTAGACAAAAACCGAAAGCGATTTAACTTAACGACCTTTCGTGATCCGGACTGTATTTTGATATTCCTACCCATTTATCCAGATTTCCAGACAAAGTCCAACATGTTACAGAAAAATTATAAATTCACACAAAAGGTTGAAAGTTGCTAACTGTGTGATATGTCATTACCTAATGTACTACTTCTTAATCTGACTTTGAATACAACCTTGCAATCAGCAGAGCGTTAAAAACCATACAAGACCATAAATCGATTTTATTAAGAGCTTTTTATCTGATACTTCGTATAAATCAGAGCGCAGATTCGCGTGGAGCCTCGTTCCTTTATTGAGTGTAATCAGTACTGGCCCGTCAATGTCTCCTCTGACGCAATGTCCAGGCAATTTGATGCTGTACAGTGCCCGACTTGCATGGGTGTGTTCTGCCTTGACATTGAAGATTCCCTTCATCAATTGCGTCATAAAAATGCTATAAGAAGTGTTCCGTATAATTGAAATCTTAAAATAGTACTTTTTAAATTTGGAATAAAAGTTGTCAAGTTGTCTGTAGTTCCGTGAGTAGTACGTTGAAATAAAACGGTTTAGAACGCTAAATATATTAGTTGGCTTAAAGATATTATTTGTAACTTGAAAGATTCCAGTCACCCAACAGGCTTGCCCTAGTGTAGATAGAGTCCTAGTTTTACTTATTTTCACTAAGGCGCAATATTTCTATATTTGAATATTATATATTTCGCGTTGTAACCCGTTAAAATGTATTTAAAAAGTATCACTAACTAAAAGAGGAAATCGTGCCAGTGTAAACTTTTTGTGTAAACGACCTATTGGATATCAATGTGTTGAAGCGATTAATAACGAAGTAATTTAAATAACCTTACATAATGTCTCGAAATAACAATATTTTCCTTTACTTACAGAGTTTGTCTTCAGAGTTGCGTCGCAGTAAAAGCCCACCGCGTCGTTCGCCAGAAGAGCGGGCGGTCCCGCGGCCGCCATCTGCGCCCGCGCACCATGACCGGTCGCATGCGCCGCATCTATCGCCAAAAAAAGAAGCTTTCAATAATCTACTCAATAAGGGCATTTCTGGTGAGTATTAAATCTTAATAGATAATGAATGCGAAACTTTGTATGGATTAATTTAAGATAGAAGTAAGTGATGATATACAGCCTAAAGCCTTCGTCGTTAAATGGGATTTTCAACACAAAAGAAAAACAATTCAAACCAGTAGTTCCTGACATAAGTGCGTTTAAACAAACTCTTCAGCTTTATATTAACAGTAGGTATAGATAAATTATTATCAGTAGTCGAGTAGTACCCATTGGGTCATTAAAATAAAAGTAAAAATGTTTAAGTAGTAAATCTTGCGTTTTAAACCGTTAAAAGTGTTTTATTTAACTGCCATAGCCAAATAGACAGTGAATCCGATCGTATGATTATTTATCTAGGTAAGTTGAACAAAAACTAAATGATAATCTTGTTGAAGCACCGTTTATTTCGTGTCACGCGCCGACCCTCGCTTTCGGCCTCATCTTCGCGTTAATCTCGCCTATAATTGATTTACTGATACCTTTCACGTCTTACACGTCCGACGTCATATTTTAAATTAAAATTTCAATTCGAATTACTTTGAGCAGTTTTTTTAAGGTAATGGCAGATTAAGTTGCAGCTTTGCAATGTCGAATGCATGTATACCTTTATAGAATAAACAGTTGCAAAGCGTTTGAAGACAAACAGAGTCGCGCCAGTGTCAATTGCGTTTATTATGTTAAATTTTTTTACTTAATATAAAAAATTAAAAAAAAAAAAAAAAAAAAAAAAAAAAAAAAAAAAAAAAAAAAAAAAAAATAATTAAAAAAAAAAGGGGGGGAAATATAAATAAGGGGGGGGGGGGGGTGGGGGGGGGGCCCCGGGGGGTTGGAGGGGGAAAAAGAGGGGGGTAAAACGACGGGGGGGGTTTCCCGGGTGGTGGGGGTGGGAGGGGGGGGGGGACTTTTATTTAAAAAAACACACACACAGTTGGTTTTTAAATAAAACAGTTCTAAACCGCTAAAATCGGCTAAAATGTGGTGGAATCGTTAGGTAATTCTGAAATTAAATTTAAATAAGTTAGGTAATACATTTTGCTTTTTAAACCGATAAAATTGTTTTATTAAAAATCCAACTGTGTTTTTTGAACGATATAAATTTATAATACACAAAGAGCTCTTTAATTCTCAACGTTGATTCCCTCCATAATAATTTTCCATTCATTCTCCACTCTTTATGAATCATAATCTCTAAATCTCATCTTTTGTCCTTGTCTCTTCACAGTGAATCCGCCTCGCTCTATCCTTTTTAGGTTCTTTTACCCCTTAAAACTAATCCGCGACATCCCGTCTGCTCGTAAGGCGCGTACAAAGCTTAAGCCGGTGTACACACTGCGCACACACACACACATATTGTGCAACACATTCAATACACAAACTAATTAGAATAATAATCGTGATATACATTTGTCTAATCGGCAAAGAAATCATTATTACAATGAATAGTATTGTATCGATGACTTTAAAAAGCAAATTTAATGAAACAGTTTAGTATTTGTTATGTAACTTTTAAATTCAAGTAGTGCTTTGTTCGGGATGCCCAAATAATAAAATCTATTGAAATGTGTCGCATTTGAGGAATTTAAAGAGCAAGAATATTAAATAAATAGTTAAGTATTACTTTACTTTTAAATTCAAGTAATAAGTAATTTGTTCAGGACTTAGAAGTACATAATAAAACAAATACTAAATGTGTCTGTCCATATAGGGGAAAAAATTGCTTATCCACATTAGGGTTATCACTTAACACCTAAGAAATTAAATACGTTCTGACTGCTAGATTATTAACTAAACTAAAAAATCTAGATAGTTGATAGGCATATTACAAGCTGAGAAAGATCACTGAATACAAAAGACATGAAATTTTCCCATAAAAATAAATTCCGCCCGGGCTCGGTTCGCTAACATGCGAAGTTTTTCTACGCACAAGATGTTCACTTCAGATAAACGTAATTTTATTTTCCTACTTATCGTTTACTAAGAGCGTTAGGCTCCGTTCGTCCGATTAGCTTTAAGTATCACCTGTCGTATTATACATGCAAATTTCAGTCTTAAATTAAAGGATTAAGGTCTGATATGACGTAAATATACATATTAAACGCTTTGTCCTGCTGCCTGTCTCGTCGATCCACGCATAGTCTAAACCACTGGCCGTAGAGAATATAATTTTTGAATTAAGAACACAGAATTTTCATTTTTTTTTTCTTCGTTTTTATGAAATGGGCGTCATTCTTTTTAATGATATACTCCATTTCCTGTCCGACCTAAACTCGAAATCGACCAAACAATACATAAAAATACCTTAAAATAATTTCCTGTACACGCATTATTGATTATTATTACAATAGTTATCACGTCTTGAGTTTAACAAAATAGCTACAAGTACTAAATACCAAATCAAAAAAGTTAATTCTATATAAACAATTAATTGTTACCCCGGGATTCTAACCCAGTAAGTGCTTTACCATTGAGCTATGGAGACGATCATAAGAATTATACACTCGTAGAAATGACATTCATCGCGTGGTATAGACACGGTGGCGAGTCAATACTTAATACCTTTAATCGGCGTAAATCATTATTAATTTCAAGTCGACTGCGCCGAACCGTCCCGATTAGCGATTGCACAATACCCCACGGATTATACTCGACGTCGGAGATATATCTTTTTGTCAATTCATACCTGTGCACCGACAGCAAATAAATATCACTGTAACTTTGACCTTCTCGAAAAATATTACAAAGCAAATTTGTAAATGATATCGGGTAGTTTATTTTTACAAATATCTACAGTACAAAGTACTCCAAAATTTTATAAAATTAAATTTAAATATTATACGAATATGTATTTTATGTTTTGAATATAACATTTTAATGTTGTTGTTGGAAAAGTTGTAAGTAATAATAAAAGTACTATTTTTTTTCTGACGCTACCCGATTCCGTATAAGCCGGTTGTATATAGATAAGCGGATTTATTTTTTTACTGCAAGGTAGGTTTTTAGTTTGAATAAAGCGTGTAAAGAAAAATTTGGCAGTCCGTATGTACATCGCTATTAAAATTTTGACATTTAACATAAACACGTATTGATCAAGATACCGATACTATAATATTCATAATTACGAAATATTATTCATATTTCTATTAAATTATTCTTAAACAAATACCATAAGCGTAGTGTTTTAGATATTATTTATGGTACGTTGGATAAAGAAGCATCTCATTTGAATGAGAAACAGATTAGCCTGGTCGTTTAAGATTACAAAGCTACAAGCAGTCATTTTTAATATCGATGCCATCAATTCGTTGGTTTATCGTAAGCGTAACCAATGAGCCATAAACAAATTGCCATCGAGAGATCTTAGGTTCGAATCCTGGGTAAACATTATTTCATTTGACACAAATATTTTATAGATGCAGGTGAAGTTTATATATTTTGAGACATTACGTTCTTTTTCTACCTACGAATAAAATAGTTAGAATTATTTAAATTTTTAAAGATACGTTTGTGAAAAAGAAGGTTTGCATAAAGGAAATACTTAAAAATGTGCCTTATTAAAATCAATCAGCGCTATAGGCTCAGCGTACTCGAATCTCGCCGCTCGCACAGAAAGGGGGTGAGGGTAGTTCTGTTTTATCTCCGGGCGACACGAGGCTGATCCGGCCCGGATCATCCGGATAATCGTGCCATCCCGCTGTACGTGTCCTATCGATTTATATTACGTCTAATAGTGTTCGGTTTAAGCTGAATATAATTCGATAATGCTAAACCCTGATTTGTAATTATCATTTTTCCGTCATAAAATACCTTAAAAAAAGAATTAACGATTTAAAACGTGAAATATATTGCTGAACTTTTTCTAATTAAATACGTATCGGACGGTTTGCGGTAGCTATGGTCATGGCCAGTATTTAAAATAAGTTAACTTGTATGTTTCGCGTTTTAAACCGTTAAAAGTAAATTGAAATGTGTCCTACTTGCATAATTTTCGGAAGTTACAATATCTTACTTAAAATAAATCAATAAAATTCATATAAAAATATATATTTTTATGATATATTGTTTATTGATATTATAACAAAAATATAGTTATTACGTCTTAAGATTAACAAACCATGCTGAGTCAGCATTAATTAATGACCTCGTTAGTATAATCTGTTTTTAAATAGACGCTAAATACCAAATTAAAATGTTCATTGCCAATATATTGCCGGTAAAGTAGAAAAAAATAAATTAATATCTAGAACACAGACGATATAAGATGTTAAAGTGAATTATAGGCCAATATTTAAGTAGAAAAAAATCTTAAATGTTTACCATAGACCTAGACTTTTTTGATTTACAACGCTACAAGTCAATTTTTTACACGCCGTGTTTTACTACTTTTTTATTTTTTATGTTTCTAGAATTGAACATGAAAAGTTTTTTTTTTATATTTTTCACACAACGCGGTGTGTTGTATGAGTGTGTTTGGAGAAACTCTTAGAAAGTTATATTTAATTGTTTCGTGTATTCGAAATCAAGTCAAATTGTTTAAAAAAACAAGTGATAAAAAATGAAGACCAACATGGAATAAATAAAAGACAACAATTGTCCTAATATTTTTTGGCAATCTTAAAATTTTCAAGCCACGCACGCAACGGAAGCTCCTTTAAGGAGATAGGAGTCATTTGCTTTCCTTCTTGCAACCTTCATTTGTACCCCGGTCATACTGTTGGTATGCAGTCTTTGAACAGAACTCGTCAGAATAGTCTGTAGTTTACCCGAGTAATACATATTTAAATAAAACTCTTCAAACGGTTTAAAAAGCGAAATATATTAACTTGTTTTGGGTGCTTTGCAACAGCCGTGGTCATGAGGGGTCTGAAGATGGAGGGTGTCCCTAATGTCAAAGTCAAAACTGCTACGCTATCACCATCTGTTCCGTCGCAGCTAGTGTTAGGAGACAATGGCCCAGTCCTTAGAAAACTGACCCGCAAGACGTCGAGAAAACAACGTCC